AAAGAAAAAAAAAAAAAAAAAAAAAAAACTTTTATTGTAGAATAACACGTGATTTGTTTCATGAGAAAAATGTACGTTAATTTTGTGATCGCTTTCAAGTTTTCTTTTTTATTTTTAATAATACATCCCCCTTTTTATAAATATATATAAATGAGCAAATTAAAGAAGAACGAGGAAACAATAAAATCAATTAATACAAACCCAACAAACTTACGTTGTTTTCTTTAGACAGTTTTGTTTCCCCTATGATGATACCAGGTATCATGAAGATTTGTTTCCTACGAAAGGACATATCACTAATTTCAGTTCTTTTGGATTATTATTTCTTTATGAACATATATATTCCAGAAACTAACTTATTTTTTTAAAGAATTATTACAGACGTGAAGAACAGTATTAATTTCGCAACACAGACCCTATAACTCAAACCATTTATATGAACAGAGCTAAGATTAGTTTCGGAAACAAAATTAGAAAGGTGCTTTAAGGAACATCTGGCAGACAACAGAAGCATTACCAATGCCTTCTACAACTACTACTATTCATTTTTAGCTATGCCATTAGCACATAAAGTTATGCAAAGACCCACATAATAAAAGACATGGTAATGTGGCAAAATATGCTTCCTGCTACATAATAGCAGTAGTTTTCTCAGAAAAAAAAAAAAGAAGAAGAAGAAGAAAATTTATCTTTTATGGGGAGTTGTGCAGCGGTGGCAAGGTGCTGAACCAGAAATGTTGCTTTAAACTTTTAGATGGGCAGGAGAGAGAGACAGAAAGAGAAGAGAGAAGAAAGTAGTTGGGGAATATGAGATTGTGGTTTAGCTTAGTCATGAAGAGTCAAGCAAAAAACGACAGGGCGGGATGGAGAAGTCATGAGGGTTAAAAAGTTGAAGGGAGAACGGCATGGTGTATGGTTGAGCTCATGCCTTTGCTGCAACACAGTGTAAGCCAACGGATGAACAGTTGGATGAATGAATAAAAAAATTAGCCTAAAAAAGGAAAGACAATACCCCAAGCTTCATCTGCATGGTTTTGGAATACTATGGGCAACACCCATTGTACAAAAGTGCAGACCATAGTCCTTTTTCTTTTTCTTTTTCTTTTTCTTTTTCTTTTTACCTTGTTCTTTCTCTTATTCTGATTTTCACCCCTCTCACTAACCTATTTACTTGATCCCGCCAGTGTGGAGACCAACAAGGTGCATTTCATGGACCATATAAACCAACTTTCAAATTGAGGTAATAAACTTGTAATTCGAACCTAAGATTTTAATAATTTATTTACTCGAGAGACACGAGCACCACATCTATCCAGCCTACGAGAGCTAATTATATTTATATATTGAAAAGTACGTTTCTTTAGTCCTATTTATTCGATCGAAGAGGGCAGCTTTTTTAACCCAACCATGAAAAGCACAGTTGGGGTTTCACTTGATCCGGAGCTTCGCCCATAGTTCAAGACATGGCATGCACAACACCAAATCTCAAGTAGAGAAGATTCCATAATAAATTTACAGCAAATGTTCCTACGGTTGTCTTTCCTAATTAACAATTAGTTTTAGCCTTTAGCATAAGCGAAGGGGTCAGGTTTACCGGTAATGGAGGCTAACATGCAAGTTCTGCACCTCTCCCCTATAAATTGAACTTTTTACCTGTACGAAGTGAAGAAAATTAACTTGGTATTTCAACTTAGCAGCCAATGTTTGACACTGCATTTTTACCTTAACTAGACACCATGCCGCCAGGAACTTGAGATGTCGTCGTCAGGTACCCCTTTGCAAGTTGCTTTTGTAACCCCAATGTAATACTGCCAAATCTGCTTACTTTTAACGCGTATCTCAATGCAAATACAACTTTTTATTGCACAAGTATTTCCAAGCTTAGATGCGACAGAAAAGTGGGTAAGATACTCACTAAAGCGCTGTTCATACCTGGAATCTATGAATAGCTTTGTTGAGCATAGATTGCTCATGCGTTAGAGGCTCAAGCCAGAAAAATAAAGATAGGACCTTCAAGAATATGGCAACTCAAGCCTCCGTGTCCATAACAAGCTCTAAAAACTTGCTAATTAAGTAAATTGATCTTGCTCAAACTAAAGCTATAAGATTAGAAACGAATGAGAATGAACACAAGTTCCAAAGAAGGGAAACAGTAAATAAAAATTTGAAAATAGTTGAGACTTCAAAGCGATAAGACGATACACAATCATTTTAAAACAAAAAAATCTAATAATTAAAACAAAAAAAATTCCAGGAAATAAAAAATCATTTTATACACGAGACGATAGCGTCCAGCCCCCCATTGGAAAAAGATAATAATACAAATTCCAGAATAACTCCAACGGAGAAGCAATGCAAAGTGCTTTCCATCCATCTGTTGAACATAATATTTGGGAACAACAACTCAAATGAAAGACAGCTTGAACTTCGTTTAAATTACCATCAGGAATTGAAATCTCTAACCTCCTATTGTCTTTGACTTAAAAAAAAAAAAAAAAAGAAAGAAAAGAAATTGCGCCTGCTGCTAAGTAGGTGATTATGAATTGAATCAAGCGCTTGCTAGACAGTTAAATTCCACAAGATCGCTTCAGCAAGATTCCTCTCTATTACCCGACACAAAACTATGCAAATAACAACAATAATCCAAATACAATCAAATTTTACAAATAGTTCTTTCATGTTGTGTGCGTACAAGGAGTACCTCCCTGAAACTTTGGAGCCTTCCAAAACAACAATAGTAGCCATTTCTCTCCACTAAAAGTTCCACTTCAGTTTATATCTCAGTGACGGAAACCTATGATGCTCACAAGTTCACGGGCGGACTTCCCTGGTTGATGACTCTAGAAGTTAGTGATCATTATTACAGAATAGGTAATTCCATAACCAAAAGTGCAAAGAGTAAACCAAAAAAAAAAATAATAATAATAAAAATAAATAAATAAATTGCAGCACCCTACATCTGATATGCCGATGTGGGTATTTTTCACGTACTACTAAAACTTAAGATGCATACTTTCGGCCAAAAAACCTAAGATTTATTTTGGTGATGAAATCATTTATTCAGGATTCATTCCCAATTATGCTGTTCCTCAACTTCCTCCCCTCCATAGTTTTCTTTTGTGCCTAATCAGTATCAAATATGCCAATAATTTAATAATGAGCTTATTTTGCATACAAAGAAGAAGTATTCTAGTCTCGAAGAGATAAAATAACTAGTTTTCATTCTCAACAAGAAGAAAAAACAATTTTCCACTTTTTTTTCATGGTATCAACGCTTCTACATATTATATACATTATGGGG